TCCAGAGTGGAAATCTTAAAAACGCTCCACCGCCGTGTTTCCGTGTGAAAGGGTAAAAACGCAAAAGTCTGCTTGACAGTGAAGGTTGTACTCAGGCGCGTGGACTTGGTGTTGTTGTGTGGCACAGCTTCACGGTGCCACCTGGAGTACTACATTGAATTTCACACACTTTTGCATCACCATATGCACACGGATTTCCCACCCATAACACTCATCTAAACGCAGAATAAAAAGTGATAACGCAACACCACATTTGCGTTTTCTCTTCAGAATCGTTTCCGTGTAAACCTAGCCTAAGTGTCTGTATCTCCAGGATCCTCACCAGCTACTTTATTAGGTACACCTGTTCAACTGCACATTAACACAAATATCTAATCAACCAATCACAAGGAAGCAACTCAATTCATTTAGGCATGTACGGTCAATATGATCTACTGAAGTTCAAACTGAGCATCAGAATGAGGAAGAAATGTGATTTAAGTGACTTTGAACATGGCATGCTAGTTGGTGCCAGACAGGCTGATCTGAGTATTTCAGAAACTGCTGATCTACTGGGATTTTCACACACAACCATCAGTAGGGTTTACAGAGAATGGGCAGAACAAGATAAATTATCCAGTGAGAGGCAGTTCTGTGGGTGAAAATGCCTTGATGAGGTCAGAGATGAATGGCCAGACTGGTTTGAGCTGATAAAAGGTAACAGTAACTCAAATAACCACTTGTTACAACTGAGGTCTGCAGAAGTGCATCTCTGCACGCTCTGAACTCGTTGAAGCTTGAAGCAGACGGGCAACAGCAGCAGAAGAAACACACAGCTGTTACTCCTTTCAGATGAGAACATGAACATGAGGGTGCAATTCAAACAGGCTCAACAAAACTATAATAGAAGATTGGAAAAACGTTGCCTGGTCTGATGAGTCTTGATTTCTTCATTCAGATAGAGTCAGAATTTGGCGTAAACAACATGAAAGCATGGATCTGTCCTTTCTTGTATCAGTGGTTCAGGCTGCTGGTGTAGTGTTGTATTTTCTTGGCACACGTCAATTGATCAATCTTTTAAACACCAGAGCCGACCTGAGTATTGTTGCTAACCATCTTACCTGTACACAACATGTCATAAAGCTCAAATAATCTCAAACTGGTTTCTTGAGCAAGACAATAAGTTCACTAATCTCAAATGGCCTCCACAGTCTCAAGATCTCTATCCAATAGAGCAGCTTTGGGATGTGATGTTCACATCATGGATGTGCGGCCGTTGACTGTGTGATACTTTCATGACAAAATGGATAAAATAATCTCTGAGGAATGTTTCCAGCACCTTTCTATGCGATTAAGAATTAAGGCAGATCTGAAGGAAGGAAGGGAAAGTGGGCAACCCGGTACTAGGAAGATGTACCTAATAAAGTGGCCGCTATTGCCTGACACATGATGACGCTGTGAGAGCCGTGCAAGTGCGCCACCTAGTGGGCAGAGAACGGTATGTCTATAGGACACACAACCTACAGAATGAGCAGGAGAGCATCTCTGACTTTCCTACATGGCTGAAATAAATCATATACTGTATGAACATGCATGTAAATTTAGCTCAAAAACTGCATTTTTTATTTTATTTTATAAACTCCTCTACATAAGAAGGATCAGGGAGACCGTTTCAGCCCATGAAATTAGATGGTTGCTGTGTTCATTAATCCTAATTATTTCACCTGAACACTAATACGGGAGGACCACTTGCATCACACCTTTCTCTCAAAGCTATCGTGTTTCACAAGGCACTCATTACACTTAATCTCAGCGGGCTGTACAAGCAGCCACAGCTTTGCCTTTAGGGACAATTAACAGCGCCCCTTGCCATGTGCTTTCAGTGGCACTTGCCGTATCCAACACAAGATGTCCCTTGACTATACGTTACTAAGCAAAGGCTGCTTTGGTTCAAAAAAGGTGGGGTAACAAAAGGCGAGCTGGTGTGCATGTGTGATGGGGGTGGAGGAAACAGAGATGGTGGGGGAGAAAAGTAATGATAGTAGTGGTGATGGTGGTGGTGATGATGATGATGGTGGGGGTGGGGGGTTCTCTACCCCAAATACACACCCCCACAAATCCCCAACTGAATGCATCAAGGGGTAAAGCTGGCCATGTCTCTGTTTTAAAGAAGCAACTGCCACCTGCATTTGTATAGGATTTAGAGACAAAGACTTTGGAACTTACCGTGGCTAGAATGTAAAGATTGACTAACAATTGCTCAATGAAGATTGGAGGGAGAGGGGGAACTAATAAAAAAAAGTTTTTTGTTTTTTTTTACAACATTCTTGAAGAATCATGTAGCCTAAATACCATGAACCTAGAAAATGGCACTTTTTCTGTAGCCTACCATAATATACAATGTAGTCACACAAAGGTTATTCAACAATATCAACATAATTTAAAAATAAAACTTTAAATCATTTAAAAAACGATTCTAATTAAAGCTAGGACATCTGGTTTAACCCATATTTTTTAAACATGATCACTTTGCATCGTGTTCCGTTAAAAAAAGATAAAGGCCTAGTCTACTGTGTGTTGTGGTTATGACTTAGCCTGCTAACGCGTTTCCAGTTAAAAGAAGTTACGCCACTCGTTTCAAATTTGTAACCTAAAGAACGGGCCCTTTCCCTCCATTCGTCGTGTCTTCGTCTGTGACGTCGCTGGTGTGCGATACCTTTGGGTGCCAGTAGGAGACAGAAGAGGACGGTGAATTTTAGCGAGTCAAACGGTTGACGATTTATTTGTATGAGATCATGCGCTGCGCGCGCTTAAGTTTGTCACATCCACTGAGAACTCGTGCACCGCGCTGTTGGAAATCTGAATGAGGACACACATGAACCCAGCATGATGTGGACATGGTTTTACCAGTGCTTCGTCAGTTTTAAATAGCTGTAAAGCGTTTTAGTTTCCCATTTGTCAGTCAAAATGAAAAAAAAAAAGGATTAATTATGGAGAGATTTTAAACTGGATATTCATCGATTCTGGCTGTTATATTAGGCTACGTCATCTGTAACTGGTAAGATAATAAAATTGTTTAACAAATCTTGTGAAATATAAAGAGACGACTTTAATTTGAATCTTTGAACAGTCTGCAAGCGGTTTAAATAGAGCGTTGCAGTTTCACTTCTTTCACAATTTGTCAACCAACTTTTGCTGCTATGTTTCAAATTAGTGCATGTTTTTAAAAACTCACTTCCGCATTCCCACTTTATCCCGAGGTGTCTATCCAAGTATAAGCATTATCACAAACTTTATCTGATGTGTTACTTGTCAGACCAGACTACGTGATATGTCGCTGAATTTCAGGAGCCAACATTTTGACGTGCAGCATTTACATGTAGTATTTGATAGATCGGCGTCCTGCTGTTGTCACATACCGGCAGTGGTGCTGAAGCCTCAAACACTCAAGCTGCTGCCTGCATATTGAGATGCACTTCAGTGAAGGCTGGTATATCGAGATCGGTTGAGGCTGGTCGACAGCTGCCATCCGGTCTAGACTGAGCAGCTCCACTCTTATCAAGATCAAAGCACATGCTTGCAATGAACGCTGGGAAATGTGTTTTAAAGGGATGCAAAATGTGAGGTGAAAAGTTAAATTCAACATTATGTCGTATTGTATGCGAAGTTGCTGTTTTCTATATGTTTTCTGTCCCATTACACACAAATTTCTGTGTAGAAAAAAAAAGTTGTAATGTGACTTAGTCTCAAACATATCCACAACTCAGTCACGTCCAGACCACAAGCATTCAGTCTCCTCAAACGTGACCCTGACATATAAGCCTGAAATAGACCCCTTTTTAGACATGACATCAGCCGGTGTTTTAGCCAAACACACACAAACACATTCAGTTCATTTTTACTGAGCCAAATGACCTGCGTTTATAAGGCTAGTGGGGAAATCTCCTGCAGCTGTGCGAAGGCGGCAAGGATGCAGATGTGCGTGAATGCGTGTGTGAATGGGATAGTTCACCCAAAAATGAAAATTCTGTCATTAATTACTCGCCGTCATGTGGTTTCAAACCTGCAAGACATTTGTTCCTCTTCAGAAGACAAATGAAGATATTTTTGATGAAATGTGAGCGATTTGTGTCCCTCTGTTGACGGCTACGCAACTACCAATTTGATGATGACCTCATAAAGTAATCTTAAAAATAATTCATATGAATTTAGCAGTTTAGTCCCATTTCTCTGAAGAGACTTGAATGCTTTATGATGAACAATTTAATTTAAGCTTTTATTGACACTGAAACATTAACAGAAGCTCAGACAAACCTCATTGGTTCTTGTTGAAACTCAAAAGTGGTGCGTAACACAAGAATGAACCTCATTGGTCCTTGTAGATCAAGCTGATAATAAAGGGAGCTCTCAGATTTCATCAATGAGATCACATGTGTTCTGAAAATGAACAGAAATCTCACAGGTTTGGAACAACATGAGGGTTAGTAATTAATGACAGGATGTTCATTTTCGGGGTGAACTATCCCTTTAAAAGCCTACTTCCAGCAGGATCCCTTCTATTGAAATAAATGTGTAAACTCAATCTTTATGACAGCGCACCTGCACGTTAAGGTCAGGTTAGGTTGTTAGAGCTGTTGATGGAGCGGTATGGCTTTTAGGAAAATAATTTTATTTGTTTGAGAACTAGAAATCCAATGACACTTGACTTTTTTAGTTTTTCCAGAGTGCAGCAAACATTTTATACAATCATGCTAGTTTGGACATCTGATGTTTTGTATAATAACTTAATATATCACTTTATATATTTCTATCACATATTCCTTTATACATTATATAGAAAGTAGTTTTGGAAAAATATAATACTCTTAAATGGGTCAAGTATCTAATGAACTGAATTAATAGGTGAAGTGTATCAAATGTTCATTAATGTTTCCTTAATTTTTCAAGCTGCACCAAGGTCTCTTGACACAATGAATGGTCGTGTCAAGTGGCAAATGTGATTGTGAAACAAAAGAAATTGGTATAAGTCACAAAATAAAAGTTAAGTTTATTGTTGAACAACAAACTCCACACATACAACAAACAGGCCAAGGTAAAACAAATAATGCAGACAAAACAAAGTCAAAAGAAACCAAAACTCCTTTTTTCTTTGGCCTAGCCCTCCCATACAAAAACTAGTTTATGGTACAACTAGTTATGGTACAACTAAAGTTCATACATAAAATTTACTGGAATGCTCTGAGTTCAATGGCTGTTGATTTTATACATGTTGTCTTTATGTTGAAATATTGAGACATGGTCAAACAAGTAAAATTTCATAAAGAAGCACCGTTTTGGTCACAGGAGATCACGATAAAGTGGCTGACCTCTTCACAATATGTACAAAAATATAAAATGTAAATAAAAATACAAACAAATCCTTGTCTTGCTTATTTCATTGCGAATGCTGGAAATCTGCGTTGTGGTCGGTCCGCTAGAAAATTTTGAATTGGGGGTCAGTTGGTTGACATGGGTGACGAACTTGAAAATGACCATGTTTTATGTATTTGAGTCCTTTATGCCACTGGCTCCAACGGTTGGGTTAAAGCAGAGGCGTCTACATCTGCTCAGCAATATGAAAATCCTTTAATCATCATCATCTTTCTTCTGCTTCTTGGGGTCGACATCATCCTGAAAGAAAAGGGGGATTCGAAAATTAATTTTACTTTTTGTCACAATTCGTGTAAACCACAGTATTCTTTTGGCATAGAGATTCATGATTGTACCTCATCATCTTCATCGTCATCCTCAGCAGCCCGTTTCGTTCCTCCACCTAGCTCGTCGTCATCTTCATCCTCGTCTTCATCCTCATCACCTGCAGAAAATGATCATTAGCCACAATTAAAACATCTTCGAGTAAGTTTGCGTCATGGGCAGTAAAGAGTGAACATTAATGTTGCACCAACCCTCTCCTTCCTCTTCGTCTTCTTCATCTACCTCATCGTCTTCCTCATCATCGATTTCAGGCTCTCCATTCTCCTCATTCTCCTGTTTACACATTTAAAAGAAAAAATTCAGTGCATGTTCTCTATTGAATAGGCAACTAAAGTAGATGACCACATTTAATTACCTTTCCATTAGTGGCATCTTTTCCATTTTCCTTCTCCTCAAGGAGCTTCTTCTCTTTCAAGTCCTACATAACAAAAAATATACATGTTATGCATTTCTCTTGACTAATATTTTAAAACATTAAACTTGTCAGATTGGAGACATCTGTGCCCAATAGGCAGAGTCTATGCAGATTACGACTGACGTGAGCAAAACGCCCCCTATGCGCACAAATTTAAATTGCATCTCTAATGACGCCCCTCTGACATTGACGCCTGATTGGCTGCCGCAGAGACGTGTGCTGTCCATCATCCGACTCGTGCTCCCGCCTCCTATCGAGAGAGCTCGTTTGTAATCTGACACTTTAGTGGGGCTCAGCGGCTGTGGTTATTGTAAAATGTAAATGCATTAAGCAACCATATTTCAGCGTGTACGCGCTTGCTTACATTGCAGTTCCAGAAAACAAAAGCTTAAAACGCCAAACAAGCGGGATAATTCAGAACCACGGAATTGTGGCTCCGCGAGCTGATGCCGAACTCTAATGAAAGACAAAGAAGCGCACGCATGGCTCTCACAGTCTATCCATCCCGAACACGACAGAGTTCGACACGCACGCAAACACCACCACCATCACGTTAACCTGGATTTAGTTCGCGCAGTCGCAGAATTGACAAGAAACGTTTGGCAAAAAAACACAACCCGTCATAAATGTCAGAATATCGTGCGGTCCTTGAATTTGCTTTGTCGGGTCTCGTTTTCAATTAAAGCCCTGTCAAATACAGTTAAATGAGCCTTACCCATGCAAATATTTGCATTAATTCGTTTATATAATCTTTAGCCCTTAAGCCGTTTATCAACCACATCAACTTGGACCGCCCCCTTAAATTCACCGACGTCTCTGGCTTCAAACTAGTAAACCAACAAGCACACGTTGCTGTCGCACAACATGGAAAATAGAAACTCGTTGGAAATTCATTAAACAGCGTACTCGATCTCTGGGCTTGCATATATCAGCTGCCTCTGTGAGTGTAAAGGGCTTTCGAGACAACGGCACCACAATTTGCAACCCAATCAAACAGTTCGGGTAACATTACAATTTATTCACTTGTTTTTTATACACGGACTTCAAAAATGTGTTATTTGTCTTTGAAAACCGATGCACTGCAGCGTTAATCCGAGTTCCGCGTAGCCTATCGGCTGCATCACAATCAATCGCTATCGGACATGATAAACACGAACAGCTGTAATCCGAAATAACTTGCTTTAATCCTGTAAAATTTGCAACCATTTCTATTTCTCTTCATCATATGTGAGATTTCCTGTCGGTTTAGGCTTCAAGCCGCCTAGACGAACCGGCAAACTTTCAGCCCAGAAGCTATCGACCGATTAAATCGCTCTCAAACCCGCCGTACTGCCACAAACTCACCGGCAATGAATGAACGGATTTAGGAATAAATGAGTGCTCAAAACATTGTTATACGGAAATACATAAATCCATAAAACCATAGGACAAGCTAAACAAGCAAATTGTGTAACATATTAGGCTATTTATGCATGATAAAGGATCTGGGAAACGAAGTAGAAAGAATAAAATGTTTATGGATTTATCCCGTTTATATAGTTGACGTCTCCAGCGCGCATCAACGCCGTTCAAAGGGGAACCGACACGCTTGTATAAACAAAGAACCCGCGCGCGCAGACTGTTACATTCCGGACAATGAGAAATTGCGTTTGAATGTGCTCTCATTCCGCACGCGCTATTGAACTCGTTACAATGTATCCCATTTAAAGTTCTCATCACAATGAATTTATCAATTTAAAACCACTTACAGAGTTCGAGTACGTTTGCTTTACTTAATCAACGGTTCTTTCCGGCTACAGCCCAAAATAGCCTACGCGTTCAATCTGAACTAGGAGACAAATTAAAGCATTTTTCTTTTTTTTATGAAAATTGTTTTTCCACAGGCAGCAATTCTTACCTTTGCGGAGATTTCTTTCGCGGAGTCAACCTTCGTATCGGCCATAATTAATATTGTGTATCAATAAAATTCTCAACGCAGGAAAATGCGAGAATAATCCTCCTCTATCCTCCAATAATCACTATTGTAATGAAGCTTTCTTATGCCGACGGCATGTGATGAAGGAGGCTTTAATATAGATTTGTGGGCGGGGCACGAGAGGCGGTCGGCTGTATTTGATTGGTTAGTGGACTCCGAGGGGGTGTGTTTTCAAGGCAATAGAGTGGAACAATGGAAAGTATTTCCAAACGTAAAAGGACACACCCCCAGCCGGTATTTCAACAGTGAAGACACACCTCCTACCTCCGCTTTTCTCGCTACAGACAGAGCTGTGCAACGCAATTCCACATTTCCTCAACAAATCCGTTGATACGACATACTAACTACTCTCACATATAAAGTCGTGCCTCTCTTTTAAAGTTCATGAAATTTAATAGTTAACAAAATGGCGTCTGTACTTTAGCTCCTAGACTTATTGACCCCTAAATCACCCCCAAACACTATTGTAGCATAATATACCGAAGCACACTAAGGAAATGTTGTTTTTTGAGCACGTATGATGATAGGGGTGGCACTTGGGAAACGCTGTTTTCATGCCAAATGCAGCCCCTCCCCTTTCCGTCCATATCGCACTAAACTTAGCAGTGAGTAAACGCAAAAACAGCTCTTTTCACCGCTGCCTTCTTTCATCTGATAAAAATGCGCACAAACATGCTGAACCTTCAGAAGGCACATCGTTTTAGTTCCAGAACCCCTTTTGGGAAACAAGAAACCCATGTTTAGGTCATAGTCTAATTTTTATTTCCGAGAAAAAAACTAAGCACACACACGACGTAAGAAGCTGCAACCAATGGAAACGCGTCTTCTGCAAGTTGGGCTCTGTGAATAACACTGTTAAAAAAGGTATTTTAGAATCATTTACAACACACGTCTTGTGAATTATTATTTGGGATGAGAGTAGCGTTTAAACAAAGCAGAAGCCATAACCTCGCCGGCGAACGCAGAGGGGAGGGGAATTTCGGATACTTCATCATAACCTACATTCAAATTCTACTTTGATGACGAGGCTTCTTGCAGTCGGGCGAATCTGATTGGACGCCCGAACGATCAGAACCCAAAGTTGACGCTTTGCGCCAAACTATTGGATGCCAGAGATGTCAATCAAAGTAATGACCCACAGTGCGCGAGAAAGCCTGGAAATGGATTTCAGAAGATTCTTGGCCTGGATGCCGATTTATGAGCAGGTCAAATATGCGTTTGTAAATTAGTTTTACGAAATGAACAAATCATTTGTTGGTGCAAATTATTATAGTAGATCAATGATATTATTAGACAAACCAGTTTTGCTTGAACGAAATGAAAAAAAGAAGAAGATCAATAATTGATCAATAATATTATTAGATCAATAAAGCTTGCAAAAACTTGTTCCACACAAAAAAAAAGAAAATTAAGTTTGCCTGTTTATACAAAGACTATAGGCCTAATATTACAAATTTTCATCACCTAAAATAATTAATATAATATATATTGATCACAGTGCATTATCGTTTTATGATGGATTGCTATAACAGTCATTAAATTATGCCTTCTTTACACATCATAATATGAAGAAATATCTGGTTTGTCGTAATAAAATCAATGATTTCTTTATTTTGTTTGTTAAAAAGATATGAAACAACAATAACAATGTGATAAAAAATAATAATATAATCAATTAAAAAAAAATTATTATAAAATATAAATATAATCAATACTCTTACCTAATCAGAATCTGAACACTTATTCTTCACACCAATAATGCTCCACTTTAATTCTAGCATCAGGCCAAATTTCCTGCTTCTCAAGCTGGTCTCCCCTGAGGCAGAGTATATATTGCTGTACAGGATAACAGACACAGAGAAACACTTCCTCATGAGTAGGCAGTGAAAACTGTGCATGCGTGGACCTGCCAGAGAGATGTGGAGGAGGAAAGCACTGCTGTGAAACAACTGAGAGTCTCAGACGATAGCTTCCCGCTCTCTGAGCTTCAGACAGGTGCATTCTTCTGACAAGGGAACATTATTCCCTGTGCAAGACAGCCAGAGCCTTAGAAAACAACCCAGCTATCAATGTGCATTCCTTCACCATGAAAAAACAAACAAACAAGACATGCTCCTCATCAAATAAGGCTGTTAATTTCCCTGTTTTTCTTCTCATAAAAAGTGTCTCGCTCAGAGACAGGAATGTGTTCCCTCTAGTGGGAAACACGTATTACAGCAGCTGACATGCTCTCCTCTGCACAGTGATTACAATATCAATACTCTGCCTCATTTTATTCTTTGTTTCAACTCTGCTTGATGTTTGAAAGCAATTTAATCTTTGCTTTCTTATTCAGAGAGCCGCATTGAACTTGCTCTTCAAGAAATGTTTTGGAACTGAGATGCCATTTCCGCAAGAAGAAAGTTATAACACTGGCCTGGTGTATTTTAAGCATAATGAGAGCAAGTGTGTCCTGGTGATCCCTGGCAGACAATTACTATACAGCAACGGTTATGTTAGAGGCTCAAAATACTTCCTCAGAAGGGACACAAAAAACAAAAGTTACATGCTCTTAAATATTCAAAGTGTGTAGAAAGGGAAATTGTCCATTCACAAGTGGACGGCGCTAAATACAGGATGTAAATGCTAAACGTTTTGAGCTTGTCCACTTCCAGAGACAGTCGAAAACACATTTGACCGGATAGCTTTCGCATAGTTTCATCATCTGGTCGAATGCGTTCAAACATCTACTGACCTAATGAGTAAACATTATGGAAGTGCGCTAGCAAGACGGGATTTAAACTTTGTCGGCTGGAGACTCAAGTTTGGTTTGAAGATGAAAAACGTACGCACCAAGCCCGATGTTCACTCACCATTCCTGATTTCTAACATGTACTCATTTATCGCGCCATAGTCTTGCTGTGGCTGTCGGAGCAGAAACGAACGCTGATATATTTTCATAATGTTTTTTTTGACGTAAAATTGTAAATTGCGTGAGCTTACGTAACCCCTACACCCGGGTCCCACTCGACCCGCACCGAGTGGGCCTTGAACCCAGGTCTCCGGCATGAGAGTCAGGCGCTCTAACAAGGAGGCTAAAGACTGCAGCCTCTAACGTCTGTCGCTAGAGCGCCTATTGAGATCAGGGTAGTGAGGTTTACTCGCACAGCAAATACTAGCTGGCCTCCGTTACACTTATTTCATCCATTAGATCGAAAGATCTGAAAAAGGCCTCACATTGATCTCTTCCATAGACCCTCCCCTTGAAGAAATCAGGATAGAAGTGGTTGAAAGTGAACAAAAGAGACGGATTAAAACACCAGGAGAAAACGAGAATGTGTCCCCCACGTGATCCAATTGTCCAAAACGCATCTTAAAGGAGAACTCCGGCGCAAAATGAACCTTTAGTCTAATTACACATTGTTACCTAGTCAACCGTTATCTGATATTTGTTTTCATGATTGCCGAATGTAAATAGTTTTATCTCTAAAAACAGTTTAGCCTATAACGCTAGTATAATGCTAGTATATAGGGCATAGAGTAATGACAAATAAAAATCGCTCTTTATTACCACTAAAAAGGCTCAAAATTGCCCCACACCAACACGACAGCATAACAAGGGCCCCTACATTCAAACCGAAGCATTGAGAACTTTGTCAGTGTCCATGCAGTTTAATAAGCAGATATTTTACACACAGTAAATTTCGCAAATACAGGAAGAAGCCATCTTGAAAAAATAGTCTCTACCAGTCGATCTACGAACGCCGATCCAAGTGCGCTGGTGAGATGTGAATAAGGTGATAAGGTGAGCGCGAACAGTAGGCTACGTGTACATATTGAAGACAAGTAAACGGTTTGTGTTTCTTCTGGAAACAACGGACCATATGAGATTCTGCACAGTTCAGCGCACTTGGATCGGTGTTCGTAGATCGACTGGTAGAGACTATTTTTCAAAGATGGCTTCCTCCAGTATTCGCGAAGTTGACTATGTGTATAAAATATCTTCTTATTAAACTGTTTGGACACTGACAAAGTTCTCAATGCTTCGGTTTGAATGTAGGGCCCCTTGTTATGCTGTCGTGTTGGTGTGGGGCTATTTTGAGCCTTGTTAGTGGTAATAACAAGCGATTTTTTTTTTGTCATTACTCTATGCCCTATGTACTAACATTATACTAGCGTTATAGGCTAAACTGTTTTAAGAGATAAAACTATTTACATTCGGCAATCATGAAAACAAATTTGGACTTGAATGGTTCGGACTGAGCGGGATGAAACCCAATTCCTCCTGTCCTTCCCACAAGTGTGTGAAGTCATAAATTAGGCATGGTGCCCTTGGTGAAAAAGCGCTGTCTCGCGCTTTTTATGCGCTTTTGATGACTCATTATTTCATATGTGTGACATAGAGAATGTAGATGTTGATCAATGGCTTGGTGTTTTCAACTCGAAATGCTCGAACTTGCTGGACGAAGTAGCTCCACTGGGAAGTAAAAAATCTAAACCAGTATTGGAGCCATGGTTGAATGATGTCACGCGCGCACATAGACGTGCGTGCAGACGCGCAGAGAGGAAATGGAAAAAGGACCGTTTGCAAGTGTCCTATGAAATATTAAGAAACAGCCTGTTAGATTACCAGAAAGCTGTTAAAGCTGCAAAAACTCAGTTTTTATCCAATCTGGTTTCCAGTAACAGCCATAAGCCACAGCTTCTTTTTAAAATGTTAAATTCTCTTTTAAACCCTTGTGATTGTGCTGACGTTGAAGCTTCAACTGAATTATGCGACAAATTTCTGCTGTTTTTCCATGAAAAGGTGTGTGCTGTTAGGTCCTCTCTCACCCCCTATGTGTCTGAGCCTCAGATACTGTGTCCAAGTGCGGCTGTGTTTGATCATTTTGAGACGGTGTCTCTGTCTTATTTAACCAAAGTTGTTCAGCAGATGAAGCCTTCAAACTGTCCTCTTGACATTATTCCATCACGCCTCTTTAAAGAGGTATTTCCGACAATTGGTCCTCTTATTTTGGATTTTATTAATTCTTCACTGCTGTCTGGCTGCTTTCCAGCGGCTTTCAAACATGCTGTGGTCCAGCCCCTGCTGAAAAA